CGCCGTCTGCTGCTTGTCTATCTCTCCTAGAGCGTGGGTCCCTAATGGCAGAGCGCTTTCTGCTGTTCTCACGCTCGCCGCAGCGCCTGGGACTGCCTGGCACATAGCCAGGCTCAGGAAACGTTTGTTGGATGGAGATGCGTGGACTGCCTCCAGAGCTGTGGGCTCTGGGCTTGGGCTGCAGGATCACGTGCTTTCAGAGCTGGAAGTGCCCTCGGAGGACATCCCCAGCCCGTCCTCTCTCCTCGCCTCGTGTCCAGTCTGTCTCGGAGGCTGGTCAGCCGTACCACTCAGCAGCTTGCTCTGTGAAGATGATTTCCAGATTTTTTGCTGTTATGAAAACACAGTGTACTTTTCCTACCACACTGTGCGGCTTTCGACAGGCATCTTTCTAGGAGTGAAGTGTTAATGGGGTGCATCAGCCACCATCACTAAGCAGCACCGACCGGGTGGCTTAAAGACAGAAATGTGTTCTTTCAAAGTTCTGGAGCCCGAAGTCTGGAATCAAGGTGTTGGCAGGGCCGTGCTCCCCAAGGCTGTGGGGGAGCAATCCTTCCTTGTCTCTTCCAGCTTCTGGTGGCTGATGGCCATCCCCGGTGTCCCTTGGCTTGTAGATTTGTCACCCCAGGCTCTGCCCTGTCTTCACATGGTGTTCTTTCTCTGGGTCTCTGTGGCCAAATTTCACTCCTAGAAGGACACCATGGTTAGATTGGCACCCACCCTCCTCCCTTGGTATGACAGCTTAACTCGATGACATCTGCAATGACTATTTCTAAATAATGTCCCATTCACAGATTCCAAGTGGACATGACCTTGTGGGGTGGGGCTCTTGAACCTGGTACACTGAGCCGTAGAAGCCCGGCTAACGGGGCTGCCCTCGGACTGCATCCACACCGAGGCTGGTGGCTCCCACTGCTGCCAACACCGGGCATCGAGAGACATCTTAACGTTTGCCTTTGGAGACTGTGCCACGGTGCTCACTTGCCTTTTTCCACTTTCCAATAAAATGGCCTGTTTTCAGACATGTGTTGGCCATTTACTTTTCCTCTCCTAAAAAGTACCCACTCAAGCTTTTTGTCCAATTGTCCTTAGACTCACGGGTCTGTTTCTCTTGGATTGGTAGGAGCGACGTCTGTTCTGGATTCTCCTTTTTCAGTTGACTCTTTTGCAAATACCGTCCTCCACTTTGTGATGTGTCTTTTTGGTCCTTTATGGTATCTTTTGATGTCAAGCCCCCTTAATTTTAATAAACTTAAACTAGTCAACCTTTTCCTCTACGATTGGAGATTTTTGTGGCTTCTATCCTTACCCTGAGGTCATGAAAATAATCTCCAGTGGCTTCTTCTATAAGAAATGCCGTTGCTGGGCGCCTGGGTGGCTCAGTTGGTTAAGCGACTGCCTTCGGCTCAGGTCATGATCCTGGAGTCCCGGGATCGAGTCCCGCATCGGGCTCCCTGCTCGGCAGGGACTGCTTCTCCCTCTCCCACTCCCCGTTTGTGTTCCCTCTCTCGCTGTGTCTTTCTCTGTCAAATAAATAAATAAAATCTTTAAAAAAAAAAAAAAGAAATGCCGTTGCTCCTACATTTCAGTCTTTAATGCTCCTGGAATTAATTTGCATGTGGTGTGACAGAGGTCCTATCACAGTGTTACAGGGGTACCCAACTGTGGGAAGCCCCTCCCCCACCCACGGCATATACGGTGTCTCTGGACTTCCTGGTCCACTTCGTTGGTCTGTTCATCTGCCCTGGGCCAATGCCACGATGTCTTCGTCACTGTAGCTTTGTAGGACATCTTTATGCTGATCAGGCAAGTCCCACAATCTTGTTTTTCTTCCTTGGAAATGACTTGGCTGCTCTTGACCCCTTATGCTTCCATACAAGTTGCAGACCTAGGTTGTCAAGACCCATCAAACAAATTAAAATTAAAAAATTGTTATTGAGATTAAATGCACATATCAGTTTGGGGAGAACTGACTTCTTTACATTATTGAGTCTTATAATCTATGAATATGGTATAGCTTTCCATTTACTTATCCTTTAATATCTTTCAGTAAACTCCTAGACTTTTCTTTGTAATGGTCTTACACTTTTTTTAAAGTTAGATTTAGTCTTATATGTGTTTTATTTTTTATTCTATGGTAAGTAGTATCAAAATTTGTGTTTCTTCTACAAATTGTGGCTGGTTGATAGAAATGGAATTGATTTTTGTGGATCGATTTCTTTTTAATCCAGCCATCTGGCTAACGTTTCTATCAATTCTATTAATACATTTGAAGATTATTTTGGATTTTTCACATACACAATTATATCATCTGAAGAGTTTTCTTTTTCCTTGCTATCATTGTACGTTTTGTATCTTTTTCTTACTTTATTGGGCTGTATAGAGCCTTACTTAATTCATTCATTTTTCTCATTTCAGTGGATCTTAGGTGCACATACTCTGGTTAGTCATAATCCTTGGTTCATGTAGCATAGTTTCATTGTTTGTCCTTACAAGGCCCGCTATTATTTAGATAGTTTTAGAAACATAATTAGGGGGCGCCTGGGTGGCTCAATTGGTTGAGCGTCTGCCTTCAGCTCAGGTCGTGATCCCAGGGTCCTGGGATCAAGCCCCACATCCTGCACCCTGTTCAGTGGGGAGTCTGCTTCTCCCTCTGCCCCTCCCCTTGCACATGCCTTCTCTCTCTCTCAAATAAAGTCTTTAAAAAAAACATAATTAGAACCAAAAGTGATCTACATCCACCCATCTCTAGCACCGCTATCTCCCTGCATCTCCCCCTGAAGTAACCATTATCCTTAAAACCACATTTGTCATATCCTTGTTTTCCTTTTTAGTTTTGTTACATCTATATGCATTCTTTAAATGATCTTTAATTTTAAGCTGTTTTTACTTTTTAAGAAGGGCATCGTGCTTATATTTTCACCAAATATCAAACTGCTAAAACTCATCTATGCTGCTGTATGTCACTGCAGCTTCTTTTTTTTACCTTTTAAAGATTATTCATTCATTCATTCATTCATTCATCAGAGAGGGAGAGAGATTGAGCACAAGAGGGGGAGGGGCAGAGGGAGAGGGAGAAGCAGATTCCCCGCTGAGCAGGGAGCCTGACACGGGGACTCGATCCCAGGACCCTGGGATCCTGACCTGAGCCGAAGGCAGACTCTTCACTGACTGAGCCACCTGGAACCCCACAGCTCATTTCTTTGTGAGACTATTTTACAATGACTCTTCCACTTTCCTGTGATTGTGTATTTGGGTTGTTTCCAGGGTTTGCTGTGAACATTCTTATACATGTCTCTTGTACATGAGTGAGGTTTCTTGTGAGTAGATGCTTCAGAATGGAATTGCTAGCTCATGGGATATATGAATGCTCAATTTTAGGAGGTGTCAACAAACTGTTTTCCAAAGTGCTTTGAAATGATCTCTGCTCTCACCAGGAATGTATGAGAGATCGTGTGAATCCGTGGAATTACCAACATTTTGAGTCATCAGATTTTCTCATTTTCACCCATCAAATGGACGTAAGAAAAGTCTTGTTCTGATCTTGATTAATCACTGCATTTCAGTGATTAATTGTGTTAAATATCTCAGTATGTGTTAATTATGTAAATTCCTCTTCTGGGAAATATCTGTTCATATCTTTTGCCTGTTTTTCTATGGGGTTGTTTATGCTCATAATATCTATTGTGAACAGCTTCTCCCAGTTTGAAACTGTACTTTCAGTTTTTAAAAAGTATCTTTTGATGAAAACTGTGAGTTTTAATGTGGCCAAAGTTATCAGTATTTTTTTTAGTCAGTGCTATTTTTGTCTTAAGAAATTTTTCCTGGGACACCTGGGTGGCTCAGTCGGTTAAGCGTCTGCCTTCGGCTCAGGTCATGATCCCAGGGTCCTGAGATCGAGTCCCACGTCGGGCTCCCTGCGCAGCGTGGAGCCTGCTTCTCCCTCTGCCTGCCACTCCCCCTGCTTGTGTTCACACTCTCTCTCTGTCAAATAAGTAAATAAAATCTTAAAAAAAAAAAAAAAGAAATTCTTCCTTACCCTGAGGTTTAAAATATTATTTACCTACATTTATTACTAAGAGTTTCAAATTTTGTCTTTGACGTATAAGTCCTAACCTATCTGGAATTGATTTTTGAATATGGTATGGTAAGAATCAACTTTTATCTTTGTCCATAGGGATAACAACCTTTTTCATTTATTTGTTGAAAAATCCCTTTCTTTCCTGCTTTGTGAACTGATATCTCATTCTGTACCTGTATCGGTCGATCTCTGGAGTCTCTATTCTATTCCACAGGTGATTTTGCACCCCTGTTCCAGTTCCACACTGTCTTCACATCTGGGGGGCAAGTTGCCTCTCTCTAGATAAGGGTTCTGGTCCTTCTTGGACTCATTCCCTTCTATATAAATGTCGTAATTGCTTTCATCAAGTTCCACAGCTAATCCTATTGAGATTTTGGTTGGATTTGCATTGAATCCCTAGATCAATTTGGGGGAAATTGACAAATTAATGAAATAATAATATCTTCCTACCCATGAACATGATATACTTCTCCATTTACTTTATGTCTTCTTTAAATTTTATACTTTCCCAGTAGAGGTTATATACATCTTTTATTAGACTTATTCTTCGTTCCTTGATATCCTGATCGTACTGTACATGGTGTCATCTCTCCGTATCATTG